TTGTATATGGTTTCTAATTTATAGGGATGGTACAGCGCGGTTAAGCCCGGGCCGGCCCGTTTCATTGGCTCATATTGGTAAAGTGGGTGTTTTGATTTTCTCGTCTAATTTTTAAAAAATATTTATAAATTAAAATAAAATATAAAAATTTAATTAAAAATATTATATTTTTATTATGTTATTAAAATATATTATAATTTAAATAATAAATATTAATTAAATTTAAAATATGTTATTCCGTATTATTCCATGCCTATATTATAGCTAGTGTTTGTTTACTGATGAGGAATGAAGGTGATATTGAGTACTGATAAACGTTTTTCTTCACACACATTTTGAATGTATAAATCAGGGTCAAACAATTAAATCTATGATTCTATGAACGATTATTTTTAAATGTAGGAATCAAAATTCAAGCATTAATTAAAAATGCGTGGCATTAAGTTCAATCTTAAATGCGGCGTAAACGTAATCAAATTGTTATGATCTTCCGTTTCCAATTTGAAAAAAGTTCCATGTTGGACTTGGAACGCAATCCTTTGCGATCAACGCTTTAACTCCTTCTTTTCCCCTTTTATAATTCTTCGTTTCTAATTCATTCCCGTTTACTGAATTTATTAAAACCACATTAATCCAATTTTTCTTCGTTGCAGTCATAAATCAGCTTTTTAATTTTGACTTTGATTTGAATTACTCCATCAAAGCGTTGAATCATTGTTGGAGGTGGATCTGGCGGGCACAGCAACACTTTTGAAGAATTGGTCGGCACTAGTGGGGTCCACAAACCCATTGCAGCCACTATGGTGACGTGGCACCAGACCAAACACACCGTCCAAATCAGCATCAAACAAAATAGACGGCTGAGACTTGTTTGTATTCTAATCTATCATCTATGGTCGGGTATACCTTTTTTCTTTTTAAACAGCGACTGGTTCGGTATGTCCTAGTTTCAATATTAAATTAAATTCATTTTTATTTAAATCTTAATTTAATAACTTATGTTTTTATCAATTTTTTTTCGCAAACAATAAACATAACAAAATTTATACATAGAATAACAATGATATATACTATCAAAAATATTTATTACTGTACTCAACCGTTGCTTACATACATAACCAACCAGCCAATATTTTAGGTCAAATTAAATCCCCTGTTCATATTTTTCACCCTTTATCATTTAATATATAGTTTTTAAGATAAAGTGTTGATAGAGTCTCAAACTTAAAATTAATAATATTTTTTATACAACTACTTTAGCAATGCTGTGATGAATAATATTTTTAATATAATTCTATTAAAGATCACAAAATTCGAATCCTAACATTGATTTTGAAAAACATTTTAAATCACTTCTATTCTTTTTACTTATTAGAAGATTTACTTTTTATATCCAAAAATTTAGCATCATATAAAATTCAAAATAAATAATAATTTATAAATTTTTTTTCTTAACTCGTTAAAAGAACTTTTTAAAACAAAACCATCGAGTATTAAAACAAAAAAAATACTAAATTTGGTGAAATTAATTATGATTACATGTTAATGTCGTATATTTTTTATATATGTTTAATTATATTAATAAGTTTTACATATTTTAATAATTAAGATGAAAAATAATTTATAAATAAAGTATTTTTTAATCACTTAATATTTTTAAAAATAAAATTATAATAAATTGAAATTTTTAAATAAACAATATTTAAAGAATATAAAATAAAAAAATATAGTTGGAATAAAATTTCAATTCACTTTCTCTTTTTAATTATTGACTAAGAAGTTATATTCGAATATACATTCATACATCTTATATTATTTAAAAATCAAAATCAATAATTATTTTCATACATTATTTTTTCTTAATTTATAAAATATTTTTCATAAAAAAATTGTGATAAATTAAATATTAAAAATTAGAAATAATAATTAACGCTAAAACAAATTAGTATTATATTATGGTTTCACAGAAGTAATAAAAAAAGAGACTTTATATAAAATCATGAGAAAAAAACAATATACATATTTTTAAAAGTCCAGGGTAATAAAGTAAAACCCAACTAAAATAAATAAACAAAATATTTATTTTTAATTATGAACTCGATGAAGCTTTAATTTTTAAATAAATTTAATGATATAAAACAATGAATTGAATTTTAAAGTAAATTCCAAATAATTCCTAGAAAAATGTTTTAGTTTCTAAAGAAAAAAAAGCCACGGTTGGGTATTGTTCCCGGTTTGATGTCCGAAAGAGTCCACTTTTGTTTCGCAACATTTTCACAGTAGTCTTATTCTTCCCTTTTATTCGGGATAGGTTTATCCCGAAACGAAACGCACCCGAAATGTCATTGTGCAAGTCGAAAGTTCATTTGCATTTGAGTTTCATTTCACTGTCATTTAACTCTCTTCATTGAATATAAAGCTTCTTCTTTGACACTTTCTCGCGAAACACTTCCCCTTGCTGCTGTTGCTGGTGCTTCTTCTGCCTTTGCTCTACCACACCAACCACATCCCCTGCAAACCGCGTTTCGTTCACGCAAGGTGCGTTTGGATCACCGGTTCCGCGATTTATGTTTTCATGTGATTTTTTTGATGAATTTTGTGTTTCCATGTTATTTTGATACTGGATCCGCGAACTTCTTTTGTATTTTCGAGATCGATTGCTTTTCTACTTCGTTTGCTCCTGCTCATCTGGATCTACTTCATAGCTGCATATTGTGTGTGTAGGTTTCGTTTTTGCTTAATTTTGCTGAGATGTTTTCTGATGAATCGGTTTTCATTTTCGGTTCGTTTTCGTGCGTTTTATAGGCGATCAAGTTCGAAGATGATATTCTTGTTTATCTTGTTAATTATATCTTTGTGTTTCATGTTTTTTATAGTACGAGTCGAGTCTTGGAAAAGTTCTGCTATGCATGCTTCCGATCTTTCAAGTCTGTTTATTTTTCACTTTTTTTTTTTTTATTGTTTGAACGAAAGATGAAATCATTGTGAGTAGTAGCTGATGTATTTTTACATAATTGGGCGACAATGGAAATGCCTCTCTACTTGTTCAAACTTAATTGTTGCATATTCTTTTCTTTGGCTTTGTTATTTCCCTTCTAAATAAAGTCTTTCCCGTTTTCTGCTACAGGTTTTAAAGATGGCTGATGCCGAGGACATTCAACCTCTTGTTGTTGATAATGGAACTGGAATGGTCAAGGTTAGAAGATGTTCTGTTTTGCAAATTGATCAGTGCTTCTTGTGCTAAGGACAGATTACTCTGCGCTTGCGTAGTATTCATTGCCTTAATAATGTAATTTTTTCTCCAATGTCTGCAGGCTGGTTTTGCTGGTGATGATGCTCCTAGAGCTGTGTTCCCCAGTATCATTGGGCGACCGCGCCACACTGGTGTAATGGTTGGGATGGGCCAGAAGGATGCTTATGTGGGTGATGAAGCCCAATCAAAAAGGGGTATACTCACCTTGAAGTATCCTATAGAGCATGGAATAGTCAGCAACTGGGATGATATGGAGAAGATTTGGCATCATACATTTTACAACGAGCTTCGTGTTGCCCCTGAAGAACACCCTGTACTTCTCACTGAGGCACCACTCAATCCCAAGGCCAACAGAGAGAAGATGACGCAAATTATGTTTGAGACTTTCAATGTGCCTGCCATGTATGTGGCAATTCAGGCTGTCCTGTCTCTGTATGCCAGTGGACGTACTACAGGTTTGTTTCTTCAATTGATCTTGGATTTACTATTTACTATACTGTGATAATGTGACTTCAATTGGATTGGGTCAACATATCATGTGAGTAAATGCTTTAACTTGGCTAAGTTCTGATTTTGTGAAAACGAGGCAGTGTTAAAGGTCTTAAGTGGCACGTTTAAGTTGAAAAATTTGGGAATTGATTTGTTTATACCTTTTGCTTAGTTGAAAAGTATACAGCAGGCAATGTTCCAAAAAATATACATATATTTCTACATTGATTACTCTTGATCAGCATTACTTATTGGTTTGTTTTGTTATGTTGGTGTTAAACAGGTATTGTGCTTGATTCTGGTGATGGTGTGAGTCACACGGTGCCCATATATGAAGGGTATGCTCTTCCTCATGCAATTCTTCGGTTGGACCTTGCTGGCCGCGATTTAACAGAGTACTTGGTGAAAATACTTACTGAAAGAGGATATTCCTTCAGCACCTCTGCTGAAAAGGAAATTGTCCGTGATGTGAAGGAGAAATTGGCATATGTGGCCCTTGATTTTGAACAAGAAATGGAGACTACCAAGAGTAGTTCTGCGGTGGAGAAGAGCTATGAATTGCCTGATGGACAGGTCATTACTATAGGTTCTGAGAGATTCCGTTGTCCAGAAGTACTGTTCCAGCCATCTCTAATTGGTATGGAAGCTACTGGAATTCATGAAACGACGTACAACTCCATCATGAAATGTGATGTTGATATTAGGAAGGATCTGTATGGAAACATTGTGCTTAGTGGAGGGTCTACTATGTTTCCTGGAATTGCTGATCGTATGAGCAAGGAAATCGGTGCTCTGGCACCGAGCAGCATGAAAATTAAGGTGGTTGCACCTCCTGAGAGGAAGTACAGTGTCTGGATTGGTGGTTCTATCTTGGCATCACTAAGTACCTTCCAACAGGTTTGTGCCCTTAATGTGGACTTTCTAATAAAATGGATTAGTTTGTGGAAGTATTGGGTGTTTATTTTATTTAATCTCTTGTATGCAGATGTGGATCTCTAAGGGTGAATATGATGAATCTGGGCCAGCTATAGTTCATCGGAAGTGCTTCTAAGCTGGGTCAAGTTGAGCTGGATGGTTATTAAGATCCTCGTGCTCCCAGCCGTGTGCCATATCTCCGTCAAGCTTGGTTGACTGGTTGGATATTTGATGCTTGGGTTTTCAATAGGTATATCTAGTTAATGAATGGATTTGTAAGTCGAGTATGTTATATGTTTCTCCGTTAGGTCCTTGGAAGCCAGACTTTTTATGCAGTTGGCGGATGGCGTTTGAACTTTGTAGGTTCTGCTTGGTTTGATTTTCCTTTTATTCTTTTTTCTATGCTGTGGCCAAGAATTAGGTGCCTCGAGTCAGGAGGACGATAAGTTTAAGCATCTTTTTTCCCCGGAGGGATTTTTGATTTAGTTTTTGTTGATATTAATTATATTCTTAATTGGTTATGCTTGCCGTACAATCAGAATGTTTTTATTTCTTGAGGTGATTATTCATGTATAAACCGCTTGGTTAGTGTGCACATGTGGCATGTTTTTGAACAGGAATTTAGTTTAGTGCGTCTTAGTTCAGGAATAAACACATCTTGATGATGATATTCGATGATAAAGTTAAGGGCAATTATTTTTGTATAAATTTTGAGATAAAATACGATGTTTTGGGAAGATGGTTTTTGAAAATTAATTAAAATTGTAAGAATTTATGAATAATTTAGTTATTTAAAATCAGAGTTTTAAATGTCAATTCTATCCAAGTTAGAGGTAATTTCTTCCTGATTAAAATTTCTTTGGAATATTTTTCGTTCTTTTTTATTTAGGATATTTTGATGTTAGGTAGATTTGTTCAGTAATATTAGTGTTTTTTAATTTATGTAGAATAAGTTTTCCCGTTAATTTTAATATTAATTAAAATTCTTTTTTACCCGTGTTGATTCAAACGTATAAAGTTAATAATAGTTTTTTAAAATAACGTTGATATTATTATCTTTCGGTATAAATTTTCTATTGATGCTAACAAAATTACTTTTTTTTTTATGTAAGAATTATTTTTTCTTAGTTTAAGTTTATAGTGATTAATTTACAATCATATACGACTGAATAATTTTTATCGACATCACTAATTTAGTTTTAATTTTAATATTTGATAATAAAATATTATATATTAATAATAAATCTAAAATCAAATATATTTGTATTATTTATTTAAACAAAATATTAAACAAATGAAATAATTTTAAATAAAATTTATTCAACTTTAATATATTTAAATTTCTCGATAATTATAAAATTTTTTACGTTTAGATATTGGTGAAAAAACTATTTTAAAAATAAGACCATCATTTAGAAAATAAAAGAATCATGTGAGCAAAAGACCTCATGATTTATATATATACAAATCAAATTATCATGTATAACTTTTGATTATCTAAATATATTCAATTATTCTTTTGTCTTTGTTAGTTGTTCAATTTTTGTATTTAATGACTTTTAAGTTGAAAAATTATAGTTGAAACCTTGAATATAGAAATTTACTTGAAAGTATTTTTATATTTAGTTATAAATTGAATTGTCTATTAAATTGAATACATAATAATAAAGTTTAATCCTAATTGATATTGTTAATGTTAATGTAAATTCTCTGACTAAGAATTAACTTTAAATTTAATTATCGAAGAATCAACAATTAATTATATTGATCAGGAACATAAATAGATGTGCAAGTGTAAGATACATCACAATAGGAAATATTATGATTTATTAAATCAACACAATAAATAATACAATACACTTCACGATAATAATTAAATCTACTTAATTTTACTTTTTTATATTTAACTATTTTATTGTATAAAATTTTATGCAAAAATCAATAGAAAAATAGTTAATTAATCAATTTTTTTTAATTTGAATATAACTATATTTAGTATACCAATAACAAGTTTAAAAAAAGAATAAAGATTATGAAAATATTTTAAACATATTAAAAATACAAATATAAAAAGTGTAATTTAAATGAATCCATGTATTAGTAATTAAAAATATATAACAATATTAAAATGATTAAATTTATGATTGTTTATTAGTACAATTTTGTAGTTCTGAATTGTGTTATGTTTTGTATTGCGCGTTTGATGTTCGAAAGAGAAAGGTCCACTTTTTTTCCCCAACATTTTCCGCAATAGTCTTATTCGGGATAGGTTTATCCCGAAACCAAACGCACCCGAAACGGCATTGTCCAAGTCAAAAGTGCATTTGCATTTGAGTTTCATTTTACTGTCATTAACCTGTCTTCATTGAATATAAAGCTTTTTCTCTCTCTGAAGCACTTTAGCTGTACACTTCCCCTGCTGGTGTTGCTACAGCTTCTGCCGTTGCTCCACCACCGAACCACTTCCCTGCAAACCAAACTTCAGTAGCGCAAGGTGCGTATCGATCACCGTTTCCTCGAGTGTTCATGTATTTTTTGGATGAATTTTTGTGTTTACATGCTGTTTTATGTTACTGGATCCGCAAAGTTCTGTTGTGTCTTCTGGATCGAAATTTTCGTGGTTTCGTTTTCTGGTACTGATCTGGATCTACTTCGTCATTGCTTCTTGTGTGTGTAGGTTTCGGTTTTTGCTCAGTTTTTCTGTGAGATGCTTTCTGATGCATCAGTTTTTATTTTCGGTTCGTTTTTATGCGATTAGTCGATGATCAAATTGGAAGTTGACATTCTTGCTTAGTTTGTTATGTGTCTTGTTTTTATTGTACGCGTCTAGTGGAAATGTTCAGCCGTGCAGGGGCGAGCATGAGATCAAAATTTGAAGGGCCCAAAATAATTAGAATTATAATATAGGAATTAAATAAAATTTGATAATATTATCTCTTATAATTGATTGTGAGCCTCTAATACCACTATTCAATTGTTTTTTATTGAGTTTTTTATACTTTAATAATAATGCTATTAAGGTTTTTTATGTTATGATTTTGTTCCCTTGTTTACTATTCAATAGGAAAAAGTTTGGGAAGTTATCTTTAATAATTTTGTGAAACATTACAATAAATATTCAGTCTTTGCGAAGAAGTTGTACGAGAATAGACAAAATAAATGAATTTTCAACGAATTTGAGGAAATAATTTTTTTTTCTTAAGTTAAGGTCAAATTTGTAATTAATGTATACATAAAATTGGCAAGAAAATCACATGAGTAATAAAAAGACGTGTACAAGAACTTGATATTGTTAAACTCTTCTTATACCAGAATGAATATATAAAAGTGATAGAAAAAAGGGGTTTGAAAATGAAAAGAAAGAAGAGTTTTATAATAGAAAAGGACAACTAATTAATTAGACGGATAATGTTTCAAAAGTGTCATTAAATCAACCATTAGTGTAAATATGTAGTGGAAAATGGGAAAACATTGTTGTTCAAATTGGAAAATGAATATAAGGATGAGTCTGATCTTATTCAGAATCATACTTATCCAATTTTCAGCTATTTGGCCCAGTAAGAGTCTGTTGCCTTTTCTGGTAAATACGTGATGGTATAACCCCTACCATTTACCTCCTGGCCAGAAGAGAAATAAGAAATTCGGACCTATGTCCTGTTTGCAAAACTAGCAGTGAGACCATTATCCATAACTTCAGGAATGCCCTCCTACGAAGGCACTATTGTAAGATTATTGAATCACAGGGATACTTTGTCTTTTCTTACTTTCCTACTCAACAGTGGATTGCTTCAGACCTCCTTCCCAACAACCATGCTCAGGAAAAATGGCTTGTCATTTTGGTGGGGCTGTTGATTTGATTTGGAGAAGAAGAAATGATCTGGTTTTCTTTGAAAAGTGGGAATCAATTAAGTTATTTTGTTAAAAGTCCAGAAGTTTTTCAAGACCTTGAACGTATTCATACTTTTTATCCAGTCCTTCGGAAACATCTAAATGCTAATGATCCTCATTCTTTGTTATCAAATTTGCCAAACTGGGCTAGGTTAAGATCGATAGTGATGGTGCATTTTCATCTGGTGGTCAGCAAACTTCTTGTGGGGTTGTGTTAAAACCCATCTTGGACCTGGCTGTCTTCTCTGTTGCTATTGGGATCTGTTTCATTACCCATGCTGAACTTGAGGGTATTTACCGTGGAATAGAGCTTGCGTTTTCACCCCTCAGCTTATAACCAAGATCCACCACTGGCTATACTTGCTTCTGATCTTTCGTGTCTGTTGATGGTTTTCTCTGCATTTGCATGAAAACGATGGATTACATGTTTCTTGTTTAAAAAAAATAAAATAAAAATGGAACCATCTGACTAGTGGTTGATGTATTTTACATAACTGAGTGATAATGAAAAGCCATCTCTAGTATTTTGCTTTTCCTTTATTTGGCTTTGTTATTTTCCCCATTAACAACTCTTTCACCACAGGTTTTAAAAGATGGCTGATGCCGAGGACATTCAACCACTTGTTGTTGATAATGGAACTGGAATGGTCAAGGTTAGAATATGTTTAGTTTTACTGACTGATCAGTGCTTCTTCTGCTATTTATAGTTTCCTTCGTTCTTGCTTAGTAGTAGTATTCCTTGCTATAATACTAATACATATTTTGCAGGCTGGTTTTGCGGGTGATGATGCCCCCAGGGCTGTGTTCCCCAGTATTATTGGGCGACCGCGCCACACTGGTGTAATGGTTGGGATGGGTCAGAAGGATGCTTACGTGGGTGATGAAGCCCAATCAAAAAGGGGTATACTCACATTGAAGTATCCTATAGAGCATGGCATAGTCAGCAACTGGGATGATATGGAGAAGATTTGGCATCACACATTTTACAACGAGCTACGTGTTGCCCCTGAAGAGCACCCTGTACTTCTTACTGAGGCACCACTCAATCCCAAGGCCAATAGAGAGAAGATGACCCAAATTATGTTTGAGACTTTCAATGTCCCTGCCATGTATGTGGCAATTCAGGCTGTCTTGTCTCTGTATGCCAGTGGACGTACTACAGGTTTTTTCCGTGATTGATCTTGGATTTACTATTTACTATATGTGCTCATGGGACTTCAATTGGTTGCGATCAACTTATTATAATTGCTTCAAGTTTGTCTAAGTTCTGATTTGAGAATGTGACAGCGCCCAAGGTTATATGTGGCACATAAGTTGGAAACTTGGGAAACTGCTTGAAGTTCTTCCTCAATTGATTTTGTTTACACTTTTAGCTTAGTTAAATTATATACACAGCTGCACTATTCCACATGTAAGGGTGGGATATATATTTATTTCTACATTAATTACTTGTGGGCATTATTTCCTTACTGGTTTGTCTTGCTATGTTTGTATTAAACAAGGAATTGTGCTTGATTCTGGTGATGGTGTGAGTCACACGGTGCCCATATATGAAGGGTATGCCCTTCCACATGCGATTCTGCGGTTGGACCTTGCTGGTCGTGATTTAACGGAGTACTTGGTGAAAATTCTTACTGAGAGAGGATACTCCTTCAGCACCTCTGCTGAAAAGGAAATTGTCCGTGATGTGAAGGAGAAATTGGCATACGTGGCCCTTGATTTTGAACAAGAAATGGAGACTACCAAGAGTAGTTCTGCAGTGGAGAAGAGCTATGAGTTGCCTGATGGACAGGTTATTACAATAGGGTCTGAGAGATTCCGTTGCCCAGAAGTACTGTTCCAACCTTCTCTAATTGGTATGGAAGCTACTGGAATTCATGAAACGACGTACAACTCCATCATGAAATGTGATGTTGATATTAGGAAGGATCTGTATGGAAACATTGTGCTTAGTGGAGGGTCTACAATGTTTCCTGGAATTGCTGATCGTATGAGCAAGGAAATCGGTGCTCTAGCACCAAGCAGCATGAAAATTAAGGTGGTTGCACCTCCTGAGAGAAAGTACAGTGTCTGGATTGGTGGTTCTATCTTAGCATCACTTAGCACCTTCCAACAGGTTTGTAGTGATGCTCTTCTCTAAACTACAGCGCACCTTAGGCCTCTCCTTTTTGTGTAATTACCAATAAAACAGTTAGTTTATGGAAGTCATTGGGTGTTTACCTTTTCCTATTATATGCAGATGTGGATCTCTAAGGGTGAATATGATGAATCTGGGCCAGCTATCGTTCATCGGAAGTGCTTCTAAGTGGTGTCAAATGGTTATCAAGTTGTTCATGCACCCAGTCTTGGGTCATATTTCAGTGAAGTTTGGTTGGATTATTTGATACTTCATGCTTTTGGGTTTTTAATAGATATATCTAGTTTAATGAGTGGATTTGTAAGTTGAGTATGTAATATGTTTCTCGGTTTTAGGTCCTTGAAGCCATACTTTTTATGCCATTGGTGGATGGTATTGGAACTCTGTAGGTTCTGCTTGGTTTGATATTCCTTTAATTAGTTTTTCATGCTGTGGGCAGGGGTTAGGTGCCTCGGTTTAGGAGGACGATAAGTTTAAGGATATTTTCTGCCAGAGGGATTTTTGGGTCAGTTTCTGTTATTAATTATATGCTTTCAGAATGTTTTTATTGCCGATCGATATTCTAGAAAAAAATTTGACGAGAAATAAAAAAATGGACCCTAACTTAGTACCTTGGTGTTCAAGCTCGATCCATTAACCAACCCATAGGATACGAGTCTTGGATCCTACCTTAGTACCTTGATGGTTTTCAAGTCTGATGACAAGTGTAATAATATTTTGACATTTTCTTCAAAATTGATGTATATTTTCTTATCTGCTATTAGAGTTATGTTTTTTCTATAAATCTTTATTTGTCTTCGGTTTTTGGTATGAGTGGGGTGCATCGGATTAGGTGAGAAAGATGTCGTCCTCATTCTTAATATTAAGATTGAGTGGAAAATATAGTAATTTATGCATACCATTTTATAAAATATAGTAATTTATGCATACCATTTTATAAAGGGTATGCAAATATGGAATCAACATGTCTTTTTCTCTCTTTCTTCCTTAATTAGTTATTTAAAAAAAAAATCATCTTCTATCATTTTCTCTGAGAGAAGATTGAATCTAGATTAATTAATATAAAATAATAATATGAAATAAAAGGTATGTATATCATTTTATAAAGGGTCTGCAAATATAGAATCAACGTATCTTTTACTCTTTTTCTTTCCTAATTAGTTATACATATATATAAAAAAATCTTCTATCATTTTCTCCGAGAAGATTGAATCTAGATTAATTAACATAAAATAATAACGTGAAATAAAAGATATGTATATCATTTTATAAAGGATCTACAAATACAGAATCAACATATATTTTATTTTCTTTTTTCTCTAATTAGTTATATATATAAAAAAAATCATCTTCTATCATCTTCTCTAAGAGAAGATTGAATCTAAATTAATTAACATAAAATAATAACATGAAATAAAAAGAAAATTTACATGTATACGGTTGTTTTTTGTTCTTTTGTTTATCTTTTTGTCTCTAAAAGGGAAAGATATGAATTAAAAAAATTATAATTTATGGAAATTATACTAATCTCAATATTGTATATATATAATTAAAGGTGGAAGATATTATTAGATAATTATTTATTATATTCAATTATAAAAATAAGAATTAATCCATGGTAAACAATTCATCTTAATATCATAATTACGATAACTATTTTTTTACACTGTTATCTGATTTAAAAAATGTCATATATATTAAAATTATTGACTTTTATTAAATTATTCATGAAACTTATTTTTGAATTTTCTGATAACATAAAAATAAAACTAAATGTATATTAAATTTGAACCTAAAATTCTTTATCGTAAATAAGCTATTTATAATTAAAGAATGTTTATAACTACATCTCAAAGTTATGAAAATAAGTCGTTGTGAGTACACCTTGATACCCAGGTATCATTCTTATAATCTCAGTTTGTAACAAGGCTTATTTACTATTATAATAAAAAATTCAAATTTGATAGTGATGTTATTTTTATGGTAAAAGTTTTTTTTATTCTTTTTTCTATTATTTTCTTACATATTATGTTAATTTTTATGACCACCTAAAAAGAAAAACTTCCTCTTTTAAGTTGATCAATATAGAATAAATATATGCGACAAGACTATAAGTTTTATTTTATGTTTGTTTGAGATCAAGAAGATAGATAATGAAATTACCAGAAGCTTCATGGTAAGAATGTAGGATAGAGAAAATAATTTTAAAAAATTATTGTTTTTTTTCATATATCTATTTCTTTTTCAACCAATCATATTTAATTTTTAGTTTTATTCATCATATTTTCATTTGTCACTTTTATTTTTATCTAATTTATTCTCGTATTTATTAAACAAAATATTAAAAGCCTCAATGTTTACATTTTTAATTTTTTTAAGATTAGAATATTATGATATAATGAGAATTATGATATATAAGGTTAAAAATATATTTAATTTGATAAGTAGGTTAGAAAGGTAGATAAACTAGACTAAAAAAATTTATAATTTAAATTAATCAAATTTATTTTAATCAAGTCTAGATTATTTTTTATATATATATATATATATATATATATATATATATATATATTATAAATTAATTTAGTAAGAATTCATCTTAAATATAAAAAAGTAAGTTATTAATAACTATTTTTTTCAAAATCTAATTATTATTTTAGATTAATAAATTATTAAAAATATATTATAATAAAAAATAAGTTTTTATATTAAATTTTAATATTGAATAAATTCATTCTTTTTATAATTTATATATTAAATAAAAATTATTTTTATTACAATTAAAATTTTAATTTATTTTTTTATTTTTTATTTAAATATTTTTTATTTTATTATTTTAGTATTGACATATTAAAAAAATTAATTTTAAAATAGACTAAATTTTATTTGTTAAACCAATAATCTAAAATAGGATGAGGTTATACTAAAAGCCATGGTATATTTTAAAATTTAGAGCAAATTGAGTCATATATATATATATATATATATATATATATATATATATATATTTTATATATATATTTATATATTTTTATATATTTATATATTTATATATTTATATATTTATATATTTCTATATTTTTATATATTTCTATATTTCTATATTTATATATTTCTATATTTCTATATTTATATATTTCTATATTTATATATTTCTATATTTCTATATTTAAATATTTCTATATTTCTATATTTATATTTTTCTATATTTGTATATTTATATATTTATATATTTCTATATTTCTATATTTATATTTTTATATATTTATATATTTCTATGTTTCTATATTTATATATTTATTTATTTATATATTTATATTAAACATGATTTAAATTAGAAAAAGTAATTTAGGTTTGGATTAGAAATATTTATAATAAAATATTCCCTTTTGAAAGAGCGGTAGTGACTGATGTGAGTGGGGGAAGACACTGGAAAATTGACCTAGGAAGACAGTTTTTGCACGTGTAAAGCGAGAGGTACAAGTGTGTGGTATTTTGACTAGAGTAGCAGCGGAGAGCGTGAAATGGGAAACAAACAAACATTGCCTCTTTCATCTTTGGAGGCTGCGTTCCTTATAAATACCCCCTTTCCTTCTTCCACTTCCTCACACCACAATTTCCTAACACCACTCCCAATTTAATTCTCTGTTTCTTCTTCATTGAGCCTCCAACATTAATTTCTTAAGTGTTTAACACCTCACCCACCTCAGTAATTTCCGATTTCTATTAACCTTTATTTGTCTTCGGTTTTCGTATAAGTGGGGTGCTTCAGACTAGGCGAAGAAGATGTCGTCCTCATCCTTAATATTAAGATTGAGTAGGAAATATAGTAATATATGTATATCATTCTATAAAAGGTATGCAAATACGGAATCAACAAATCTTTTACTCTCTTTATTCCCTAATTAGTTATATATATATATATATATATATATATATATATATATATATATATATATATATATATAATCCTCTTCTATCATTTTCTCTTAGAGAAGATTGAATTTAGATTAATTAACATAAAATAATAACGTGAAATAAAAGGAAAGTTCACATGCATACGTGTTGAATATTTGGCAAGCGTACCAAAATTATCAATCGCAATATAGTAATTTCGATTAAATAAAAGTCGATCCCACGAGGAACGGTTTCAATAAAAATTCCCAATTATACGCTTACTAAGTGAATTTAAACGAAATAAGTTTTGCATCAAGAGTTGAATTGAAATTAAATGACAAAGAACTGTAAATTGTTGAGAAAAAATAAATTAAAAGCACTTAGGATTAGTTTTCTTCCTTATCCCTCTTTTGTAATGACTTTGTTAATTAAGAACGTCAATTAACCTAACAATGTTGATGTCACCTACTCAATTCATCCATGTTGATTCCTCACACATGAAATTCATAAGAAAACCTAATAAATGTTGATTCCTTACACAATTAAGAGATTTTTCAGCATTAGGGTTAAGGTGTTAAGCAATTGATACATTCATTCCATTCCTGGAAATTAACATAACAAATATTCTTATCGTGATCTAGGGTTCAAAATATATTTTCCAATCATATCCCAAACATCAAGAATAAATCATTCCCAAACACAAAAGATAAGAATAACATCATCAAAACATAGATTAATATCTCAAAATGTAACCAAGATACAAAAGAGTTCAAAGGAAGTGCACCCAATCCTAAGAGAATGAAGTTAGCCACTCATGTTGGCCATTACAATGCTCCAATTGATGAAGAAGTAAAGAATTGATGAAGATTGGACGAAACCCTAACAATAGTCGCGCCTCTTCTCCTCTAAAACCGCTTGCTTTCTCAAAACACATCTTATCTTTTTATAAGAGAATTTGGACCGGGCCTCGCATCATTCATTCGCTTAAACATTCTTCTTTCTTTCAATTTTTCTTCAATAACTTCACAATTATGATCTTTGCTCTTGTATCAAGGTATTCTCGAATTTATCCTATATTGGGAGAAAAATAGATTAGAATTAACATAAGTTAAGTGGTTACATAACAATTCAATGCATAATTATATCAACTTTTTACCACTTAACAATACATTGTTTCTTGTTCTTTTGTTTATCTTTTTGTCTTTAAAAGGGAAAGATACGAATTAAAAAAATTATAATTTATGGAAATTATACCAATCTCAATATTGTATATATAAGATTAAAGGTAGAAGATATTATCAGATAATTATTTATTATATTCAATTATAAAAATAAGAATTAATTCACGATAAACAATTCATCTTAATATCATAATTACGATAATTATTTTTAGTATATTTTTATACTGTTATTTGATTTAAAAATGTCATATATATTAAAATTATTGACTTTTATTAAATTATTCATGAAACTTATTTTTGAATTATCTCGATAACATAAAAATAAAACTAAATGTACATTAAATTTGAACATAAAATTCTTTATCGTAAATAAGTCTGTCCATAATTAAAGAATGTTTGTAACTACATCTCAAAACTATGAGAATAAGTCATCGTGAGTACAACTTTATACCCAGGTGTCATTCCTATCATCTCAATTCTCTCAGTTTGTAACAAGGCTTATTTACCATTATAATAAAAAATTCAAATTTGATATTGTCGCCGCCGTAGAAAAGAGGCGGTCGGAGCGACGCGATGGTTCCGACTTTCCATTTTTTGCGTTTTTATGGGTGAGGTTACAACGCCTTTAGGTTGTCCGATAACCGGGCTGAACCTAAGGGCGAGGTTTTTGAAAGGGCGTTCTTAGATCGTGCGATAACCGGACTGACCTAAGAACACGTTTGAAAGGGTTCTTATGGAGTCGTCACCGATGTTTTTACCGGAAACATCGAAAAAGGAGAGAAAAGGCGTTGGTTTTTCGAAAACCAACTTTGGTTGTTAAAACTAGAGTTGGGTAAGGGAGTTAGTTACGTGTAAGGGAAGTATTAGTTCCCTTACGACGCCCCTTTAGGGTTCCCTATGACAGGTCAGTTATTTTATAGATAAACTTTTGAAATGACGCTTTTACCCTTTTATTTGCGGAATTAAAATGATGACTACATGACCCTAATATCTATTACACAATTTAATATGAATAAAAAGACAGTAAAAGAGAGGGAGAGAGTGAAGAAACCTCCGGAGCAAGTTTTTGATTAATTCTCTTGAAAAATAGGGTGTATTTTGGCAGCCCTTTGCTCTTACAACGTCGAAATCTCGCTCGAAAACGCTATAAAAAGTTCTCTTAGACACTCAGAAACTCTGGATATGCTTCAGAGGGGCTCTAGGAGAAGAATTTTGAGAAATTATAGAAGGAAAGGTGGAAGAACTGTATGAAATGAAGGGGGAACACCCTTTATTTATAGGGATTTGTGCCTGTCAAGTCGAGACGGCGGTCTCGACTTGAATAAGTGGCGAGATGACAGTCTCGACTTGCCAAGTGGCGAGAAGGCCTTCTCGCCAAACGGGAGGGGGGTCTCGCCAATGGTGAGGTCGAGACGGCGGTCTCGACTTGCCATTGGTCGAGACGGCGGTCCCGAAAAGCGAGACGGCGGTATCGACCCCTGAAGGCGAAAATCCTTATTTTTGTACAGAAAATCCTTCCTACTCTAATATGGGGCCTAATAGTCTCTCCTAGTGGCTTTTTAGGCTTCGTCCATCTTAGAATAGGGGGTCTTCTGCTCTTATTTTGAGGCCGGACAAGATTTAGGGTCTACAACTGCCCCCCCTTTCACCTAACTAGCCGACTGTTGGCCTATTGTGCTAAGAAGATCGACTGGAGGGTGAATGAGTTAACCCTCTTGCCCGGTTGTCCTTTGGATGCCCCGTCTTGTGGCGGCTAATCCTCTGGGGAAAAAGTGTTGTGCGCCTCTAGGATGCTCCTTCTGACGGTAGCCGATCCCATTGGTTGACACATGGTAGAACCTCAGGATACTCCTTCTGACGGTAGCCGATCCTTCGGTTGATGAGTATAAACCCCCCATCATGCTGGTATTTACAGTCCACTGTGCGTAGGATTGGATGAGTATGAACCCCCCATCAGGCTGATAGTTGCAGCCCACTATGCGTCGGGCTGGATGAGTATAAACCCCTCATCAGGCTGGTACAGTCCACTGCGTAGGACTGGTGGTGGTGGCGGCTTACTACTCAGTAGCTCATGAGCCGGTGTTGAGATGCGTTCTCCTGCCTTTGATACTTGTTTTTTATTTTTCTGGGATAGTCATCCAGTTTTTTGACGGGGATTACTTTGGTGGTCATCCAGTTTGTTGGTTGTCGGGTAGTCTTGTTTATTTGCCGCTCGACTTTTGCAGGTCATCGAAAAACTCTCGATTGATGTGGTTGATTTGCCAACCTGTTTTGGCTTTAATCCTGCCTTTTTCCGCGATTTTATCTTTTTTCTCGCGATTTCGGATTTTGGCTTTTTTGGGATTAAGCGTAAGTCTTTTTACCTTTTAGTTTCTTTTTGTTACGCTGAATTTTTTGAAAAGAGGATAAAAATGAATAAAAGAAATTTTTATTTATGATAAAATTTTGATTACAACATTTATTTGTTGAGTACTATCCCTAAGACGATGGACTTGAGCCGGGAGACGATCCGAGAGGAGGGAATTGCCGGTACATATGCCTCTGAAATTCTGCCTGGTCTCGAACTGCATCGAGATGTTCTTGTCAAAATAGTGTCATGTCTTGTCTTATTCCCTCTTGTATTTGGCCGAAGGTCTCTATCCTCGTCTTGAAGACATCTTGCCTTAAGGACATCTGGTCCTGTCTTAAGGACATCTGGTCGAATTGCTGGCGCAAGCTGTAGATGTTGCGGTTGATACCAACAAAGTCGTTCGTATATTGCTGTTGTTGCTGATGTTGTTGTTGTTGTTGTTGTTGGAACTCCGAGGGTGTCAGGAGATCTTGCATCGCCACCAGGTCCTGGAGGTCGAAAGTCATGGCTAGCGAGGGGTGGAGGGCCAATCGGGACCCTCGGCGGATCAACATACCCATGCTGACAAGTATGGACCCGTTGATAGTCTCGGGTCGAAGATCGGAGAAGAGGTTCTCTCCGCCACTGCACCCCCATTTTTCTGTCAGCGGGGTGATAAGGGGAGCCATGAGGATGGCTCCCACGTGACGGCTCCCGAAGTCCTTGAGGGCCTTCACGAAGAAGTAGCCAGGGTTGCACTGGCGCCCTTTGCTCATGCAGTAGAGGGAAAAAAGGTTTGGGTAGGTGACCTTACCCTGACTCTCCTTTCGCCCATGGACAGTCCCAGCCAGCAGCTTGTGGCAAATGCAGAGAGCGGGAGTGAGTGCGGACCCTTTTAGTAGGGATGGCAAGGTGCGCATCCCGGTGAGATCCTCCCACATCTCACCAGCTATGAGGGTAGGTGGGCGCTCGTAGATGGCCTCCCGGTATTCTTGGGTCAGGATATCCTCGGGCCGAACGAATCCAATAGACACGTTGAATTTGTCCAAGGTCGTGGTCCGGTACGACCCACTCATGAAGTAGGACACCATCTTGACCGGCGGGAGGCCCGACACCATTGTGGGGATCTCGTAGTAAGTGATGGAGGC